ATTGTCTGATGCCAAAATATTTTTACTATGAAAAATGAATTTTTACAAGAATTCTTTTCTTTTTTTGTTTGTTAAATTTTAAATGCAAAATGTGATAAAGTTGTTAAAAATTTTAAAATTATGTTTGGGTCCGTGCCTTTTAGGGAATGCTGTTATTAAAAAGACCTATTTTTACAGATCATAAATTTGAAAGCTTATTAAAATCCGCGATACATAGGTATTTTTAAAATATATTTTGAGTATACAAAGGTTTTTTTTCCAAATATATAGATGGACGTGTGAGACAAATGTGACGTGTTTTAAGAGTTGTCTCCCCTGAGAGTAAGAACCCCCACCATCATTTTTTTTTGTTTTCCTTCTGGCGAGCACGTATTAAATTCTCTGACTGACTGACAATCATCGTCGCATTTTCATAATTTCTAATTTTCTTTTTCACATCGTATTTCACTAAATATCTTGATTTAATTTTTTTAAATATAATTAATTTATTGTTTTTCAGCCAAGTTTTATTTTCAAAAATTATCGTCTGCCTCGTCAATGACTGTTCATTAATAGTTCTCGCTCCTTCATAATGTTTTTCTTATATTATTTCAAACTCTGTAACTCCCCTTGTTGGATTTGTTGCCTGTCGGGAGATTGGAGGTTTTGAGGAGCGTGGAAACAACTCTTAATTGATGTTCTTCACATGTCCACTCTGATTTTCTTAGGGCCCCAGCTATGGATAAAGAGTGAATTCTCAAACAAAACGCAAAACACTATGAAAGTATAAAAATACATTTTTATAGTAAAAATACCAGCAAAATATTTTTGAAAAAAAAAAAATTACATGCAATAGTTAAAAATAAATTTACCAGCAATACCATTTTGACGCTCGTCAAAAAGCCTATTTACAAAAAGGGCGCCAATGAAACCTGATCTACAAACTGATTTCTCCCAAAAGAATGCATATTTGTTTCGTAAGAACCTTTTCTAAAAAAATCTTGTCGGCATTAAATAACCCATTGAGGTATTGATATACCGTAAAACAAATTAAACCAAACAAATCTAAACCCAAAAAATACATATTCTATTCATACGAATCTACCCTAAAAATCTTGTCTGCATTAAATAACCCATTGAGGTGTTGATATGCCGTAAAACAAAATAAACCAAACCAATCTAAACCAAAGACAACATGTTCTATTCATACGAATCTATCCTAAAAATGTTGTCGGCATTAAATAACCCATTGAGGTTGATATGCCGTAAAACAAAATAAACCAAACCAATGTAAACCAAAGAATACATATTCTATTCATACGAATCTATCCTAAAAATCTTGTCGGCATTAAATAACTCATTGAGGTGTTGATATGCCATAAAACAAAAATAAACCAAACCAATCTAAACCAAAGAATACATATTCACCTCTGAATTCAAAATTGTTTGGGCGTGGAGCTGACGACTTGATCGTGAAAGAAATTTACTTGCTACAAAAACCATTACAGCGAGCGTGGTGAGTCTGTGACCCTATACTCGATGGGGGAGTCTAATGGATGATTCCTTGTAGGCTGACATGTTGAGAAATGTCCTCAACCAACTAACGATTCTATATTCTCATGTTCCAGTCCCTCAAGTTGGTTTTGTATGAAGATATTGCTATCGCCATGCTAAACCGGTTTTGAATTCAGAGTTGTCCTTCTCTCGAAGCAGGGCTCGAACTCTGTCTTCACTACTATTTAACCCAAAGCTGGGGGGAGAAGAGATGGTTTCATACGTTTCCCAAGGGTATTTACGCATAAGTGAATATAATAAACTCAACTGGGATTCGAACCCGGCTCTCCGGTTTCTCTCTCCGAGCCGCTATTCATTACAAAAAATTATTAAAAAATAACTTCATTAAAATTCTAACTGATGTTCATATGAGTCATGCTGTCCTTTGTAACTTTAATAACTTTTGTCTTTTCCCAATTACTACCCCCACCATCCATTCTCTTAAGTCTACCCGATAGGATGTGCGTTGCTCTCCTCTGTCCCTCTTTACACGAATACATCCTGTGAGTATCAAATTTTCCAAGCCCTCTTTCCTCATTATGTGACCCAGAAATTCCAGCTGTTTCTTCCTGATGTTACGCACGTGTCCTTTTTGTTGCCATTGTCTCTAGAACTTCGTCGTTGCTCATATGTTTGGTCCATGGTATCCTCAGCATCCTCCTGTAGAACATTTCTGTTACTTCAAGTTTCTTCTTCATCTTTGAAGAGATTTTCCAAGAAACACTGCCATATAGAAGGACAGATATCACGTAAGGGTTCAATAGACTTCTCTTTGTTTCTAACGAAATTTTTCTATTTCTTAATACTTTGCTTAGCTTTTAGAAGGCATCTTTGGTTATCCGAATACGTCTTTGGATCTCAGTGTCACACTTTCCGTCCTCTAAGATATAAAAAGGTGATTGTCCAACATTCACTGCCATATAGGAAGACAGATATCACGTAACAATTCAGTACTCTTTTCTTCGTTTCTAACGAAATATTTCTATTTCTTAATACTCTGCTTAGCTTTTAGAAGGCATCTTTGGATTCTGTCTCCTTATAGTTTACACTTCGTCTTTTCTTCCAGCTTTCCCTCGTTTCTTTCGGTAGGAGATTTGTAGTTTCCTTTCCGTGTCTACTTTCAAAACTGTATCACCTGAATACCTTGTATTGTTAAGATTGTGTCCGCCAATAATGAATCCTGGCAGGACTTCTAATAACAAGCTAAAATTCCACAGCTTTCGTTTTTTAATTCTCGGACGGATCATCAATTTGAATTTAATTATTAAATAAACTCCTTACGAGTTGCACGTCAATAAATCACCCGTGGAAATCCCCCTATTAAATACATATATTTATTTCTATGTGTGCATACAGTGTAACCCGGATATAAGAGAAACCCGGATATAAGTGAGATTTTCTCTGGTCCCAAATTAGAGCCCATACTTACCTATACAAAATAGACCCAACCCGGATATAAGAGAAACCCGGATATAAGAGACTTCTTCTCCGGTCCTGGCAACTCTCTTATATCTGGGTGACACTGTATATGCGTATGTGTATGTATATATGTACATGTGCATGTATATATATATATATATATATATATATATATATATATATATATATATATATATATATATGTGTGTGTGTGTGTGTATCTATATTTATGTATGTATGAATGTATGTATATTATGTATATATTTATTTGTGTATGCAAATAGAATATAATACTGTTTCTACTAATCTCAAACATATTAATTCCTCTATCGTAATCAAATGCATACTAATTATAAACAAGATGAAAATATACTTAAAAATTAGTAAATACTAATATATCTACAACAGATCCTAGCTAAAAAAAAATGAAGTTAATCATATACTACACTAAATCTAGTATATCCAACTTAATTCTTCACAATGATTCTTCTCCCCCGGTTAGCGATTTGCAAAAAAACAACATAGATTAAAAGTTCAAATGCCCTTTGGGAGATTGTATCTTCAACGGATTAAATAATATTTATGTTGGTCACACCACAAACTCGCTTTCACGGCGCTTGACTCTACATTTGAATGATAACTCTAACATTTTTAGGATTTAAAACAACATGCCTGGCCGCATACACAATTCCGGAAAATCCTTGATAGATAGATAGTCTTGTAGTCTTGTTAGAGCCAGATATAAAGACAAAAAGAGAGGAACTGAGTTAAACAAATATATTAACAGAAAAAAGTAATACAAACATATATAAATGAGAGAGTTACAGCGAGAATGTTCGGTCCGACTGCCAGTGCTGACTGCTGAAAACTTCAACGTCTAAAAGGCAGTACCTGCTCCTATTTATAGCTGGAAGGGTCCATGCGTGCGTAAATAAATTACCATGATAGATAGATAGATAGATAGATAGATAGATAGATAGATAGATAGTGTTGTTGTCTTGTTAGGGCCAGAAATAAAGACACAAGAGAGGAACTGAGCTAAACAAATATATTAAGAGAAACAGTAATACAAACATATACAAACGACAGTGTTACAACAAGAATGTTCGGTCTGGCTGTCAGAGCTGACTGATGGAAACTTCCCTCTCTCCAAAAGGCAATACCTGCTCCTATTTATAGCCGGGGGAGTCCATTCTTGCGTGGGTAAATTACCATAACAGTACTTCAACAAGAAGACTATCTTTCATATCATATATTAACATATTTTATAAAATTTTGGTGAGGACACAAGTAGCGCCATCATCGAAGTGACGCCCCCACAAGTGGCGCTCTCAGACAAGGGGCGCCCCCACACAAGGCATACCCACACCAGTTGCATCTATATACATGTGGTACCCCCACAAGAGTGGTGTCTTCCATACAAGTGGCGCTCTTAACCAATTGGAGCTCCCATACAAGTCCACCTGCATACATGTAGTTCCCTTATCCAAGTGGTGCTCCCTACAAATGATGCTGTCCTCACAAGTTGCGGGTTTACTGAAATGGCACCCACACAAATGGAGCCCCACCTGAGCGGTGCTCCACCCAAGTGGCGCCCCCACCCAAGTGGCGCCCCCACTCAAGTGGCACCCGTGGCGTGGGCTCTACTTGACATACATTAGAAACACTACTACAGGCAGGTGACTGGTTTTATAAGCAAATAAAAAAACTGGTATAACTTTAGAGATACTATTAAAGCTTTTGTATTCCTTAGGACTTAGTGCAGGGAGTATTTTTTTCATCAGCCTAAAAAATGAGACATCGTTAGATAAAGAAATGGGTTGAAAAAAAATCAGCAACGTCGATATTCATTAAAGATTCGATAAAACAAAGGAGAGCTGAACTTAAAAGAATCGATCAAAATGATTTCTAAATCGAACCGTGGCTCAGAATAAAAATGAAAAAAAGAAAAAAAAAGAGATCAAATAAAAAGTACATCATCGACAATTGATCAGTTGGGGGTAATCGATACACACATTGAACGGGATCGACAATTTACAGAGAGGCTT